CTCATTCTACTCACTCATTCTACCCACTCATTATACCCACTCATTATACTCGCTCACTAACTCACTCATTCTACTCACTCATTCTACACACTCATTCTACCCACTCATTATACTCACTCACTTATTCTACTCACTCATTCTACTCACTCATTCCACTCACTCATTCTACTCACTCACTAACTCACTCATTCTACTAATTTATTCTACTCACTCATTCTACTCGCTCATTCCACTCACTCATTCTACTCACTCATTCTACTCACTCATTCTACTCACTCATTATACCCACTCATTCTACCCACTCATTCTACCCACTCATTCTACTCACTCATTCTACTCACTCATTCTACCCACTCATTCTACCCACTCATTCTACTCGCTCACTAACTCACTCATTCTACTCACTCATTCTACCCACTCATTCTACCCACTCATTCTACTCGCTCACTAACTCACTCATTCTACCCACTTATTATACTCACTCACTAACTCACTCACTAACTCACTCATTCTACTAATTCATTCTACTCACTCATTCTACTCACTCATTCTACTCACTCATTCTACTCACTCATTCTACTCACTCATTCTACTCACTCATTCTACTCACTCATTCTACTCACTCATTCTACCCACTCATTTTACTCACTCATTCTACTCACTCATTCTACTCACTCATTCTACCCACTCATTATACCCACTCATTATACCCACTCATTATACCCACTCATTCTACCCACTCATTATACTCGCTCACTAACTCACTCATTCTACTCACTCATTCTACACACTCATTCTACACACTCATTATACTCACTCATTCTACCCACTCATTATACCCACTCATTCTACCCACTCATTATACTCGCTCACTAACTCACTCATTCTACTCACTCATTCTACACACTCATTCTACTCACTCATTCTACCCACTCATTATACCCACTCATTATACTCGCTCACTAACTCACTCATTCTACTCACTCATTCTACACACTCATTCTACCCACTCATTATACTCACTCACTCATTCTACTAATTCATTCTACTCACTCATTCTACTCACTCATTATACCCACTCATTATACTCGCTCACTAACTCACTCATTATACTCACTCATTCTACACACTCATTCTACCCACTCATTATACTCACTCACTCATTCTACTAATTCATTCTACTCACTCATTCTACTCACTCATTCTACTCACTCACTAACTCACTCATTCTACTAATTCATTCTACTCACTCATTCTACTCACTCATTCTACTCACTCATTCTACTCACTCATTCTACTCACTCATTCTACCCACTCATTATACCCACTCATTATACTCGCTCGCTCACTAACTCACTCATTCTACTCAATCATTCTACACACTCATTCTACCCACTCATTATACTCACTCATTCTACCCACTCATTATACCCACTCATTATACTCGCTCACTAACTCACTCATTCTACTCACTCATTCTACACACTCATTCTACCCACTCATTATACTCACTCATTCTACTAATTCATTCTACTCACTCATTCTACTCACTCATTCTACTCACTCATTCTACCCACTCATTATACCCACTCATTATACTCGCTCGCTCACTAACTCACTCATTCTACTCAATCATTCTACACACTCATTCTACCCACTCATTATACTCACTCATTCTACCCACTCATTATACCCACTCATTATACTCGCTCACTAACTCACTCATTCTACTCACTCATTCTACCCACTCATTATACTCACTCATTCTACTAATTCATTCTACTCACTCATTCTACTCACTCATTCTACTCACTCAGTCTACTCACTCAGTCTACTCACTCATTCTACTCACTCATTCTACTCACTCATTCTACTCACTCATTCTACTCACTCATTCTACTCACTCATTCTACTCACTCATTATACACACTCATTATACACACTCATTATACTCGCTCACTAACTCACTCATTCTACTCACTCATTCTACACACTCATTCTACCCACTCATTATACTCACTCACTCATTCTACTAATTCATTCTACTCACTCATTCTACTCACTCACTCACAAACTCATTCTACTCACTCATTCTACTAATTTATTCTACTCACTCATTCTACTCACTCATTCTACTCACTCACTCACAAACTCATTCTACTCACTCATTTAACTCACTCATTCTACTCACTCACTCTACTCACTCACTCACTCACTCACTCACTCACTCACTCACTCACTCACTCACTCACTCACTCACTCACTCACTCACTCACTCACTCACTCACTCACTCACTCACTCACTCTTACTGTTAAAACTAATTTCCTCTATGGAAAAAAAAATGAATGGGACTTCCAGAACTGTTGCGCTCTATAGCATGTTTATCAAGGCATAGAGCAGCATCCTCTGTCTTCTTAGAAACGTAATTAAAAGGTTCTAACAAATAGGAATGTTTTGGTGTCAGAGCCCGTCATCATATCTGACGTCGGTACAGGGTCAAATCAGCTGGCTCTATTATTTCGGTAATTGCTTTTCAGTCCCGGCACTGAGGAGAAAAATGCCAAGCCGTCCGTCTCATATGCAGATAATGAGCAAATGTCCTTATGCTAAATAAATGTCTTTTAAAAGATTGTTGTGGGACATTGATTCTGATCCTTAACTGTGCTATTAATACCTCTTTGCCCTTCTGTTCCCCGAGATGGCAGCGCTCTCCCTGTGATGAAATATAATTTTTCATTTCTTCGGGAAGGGATGAAAAATGGATGATCTTAGAGGTACAAAAGCCGGAGTCTAGATTGCCTGCAGCTTGCAAACAGGTATTACAAAATAGAGCCATTACGGCAACATCAGCCCGCAAATGGATTTGAAATTGAGTGGAAAACCATGCATGCGCCGGGTTAGACTCTTAGCTGCCTTGAAGGGAATTATAGAGAGTAAAACATTCACGCCCCGGAAAATGGCCAAAACTAAATGAAAGAAGGGGTGACACTTACACACCAATATGCTTTCAATTGCCTAGACTAAAAAGATGCAAATCAGATTTTTACAAAGAAAAAAATGCCTACCAGTAAAAGATCTACATTAATGCTGCTTCAGTTCATTTTACCTTCACGTTATTGTGCAAGATTCAATCCGCCACGGAAAGCGATTCTATTGGCTGATAGAACTCCCTTTGGGAATTTTTTTTGGTGCCTGGCCAAAAATCCTGTACAACATCGCTGTCTATGTCTTCACTGAATCACTTGTTTCACATTATACTAAATAACTACATTCTCGCCTAAAAAATTCTTAAAACTACATTTTGTGACACAAAAACAGTAGTATTTTTAAAAAATATGGTGGATTTGCTCGACCGCCATGACAGTCGCTGCAAGCGGAGTGATACAAACGGTGAAACGGTCAGAGTGCTGATACTGGGGGAGTATCGCACAGCTGGAAAAAGCTCTCAGCCAATCAGATTCGAGAACCAGAAAGAACTGTTGTATGAAATCAGATAAAAATATTTACTCCCAATACTTACTACAAAGTATTTACTACTAAACATTGTTGTCATTGTTAACTAAAACTAAATTAGTTTTTTTTATTAATTAAAATAAAGCTTATTGAGTACATTTAACTAGCAATTACTATTTCAGTCTTTCTACTTCAAAAATGTAATGTTTAATTTGATGTGTTACTAGCCATTTCTTTGTAATTCTTTGTGAAATTTGCTAGCAATTTCTAAGTGAAAATAGTTTCCAACACCCATTTTTTTCAGTCTAGATGAAAAAGTTAAACATTAATGAAAATTAAAAAAAATTGTATTGGTAACTTACTGAAAGTTTAAGTTGAAGAACTAAAACTACTACAACTAAAATAAAAATAAAAAGCCTAATTAAATTGACAAGTTTTCTTGGCAATCTGTATTTTCAATGTTATACGGTAGGGGGCGCAGTTACGCATCTCATAATGCGTTTAAGTCCACTTTTTTATGCCCTTCCCTCGCTTACTTCCCACTGTGTTGTTCACTTGGATGTGCGTCATTGCTTACATTGCACGAGCGCCCACTACTGGCGAACCCTTGTAATGGGTTTAAATGGAACGCACTAAGCCCTTGATAACTTGTGGGTAAATCAAGTGCGAGGACTGCAAGTTGCTGTTGACATCATAATCATGTTGGTTTTTGGTCTATGAACTGGTCAAAATCGAGGGGTCGAGGGTCTGTTCTAGAGATGCGCGGATGGGCTATTATTTCATCCGCAACCGCATCACAAAACTCATCATCCGTCCGGCATCCATCCGCACCAACGTTTTTGACCAATTTTCAAAACCGCACCCGCCCGCCATCCGCTGATACAAGGCGCTGCTGATGACAGCCGCGAGACTAGAAACCGCCCGCCACCCGCCCGAATTTAATTAAAATATTTTTTTCCGTCACGTCATCCGCCCGATCCGCGGTTTATCCGCGGAGTCCGCGGCTATAACCGCCAACCGCGCATCTCTAGTCTGTTCAAATAAACGTTCCTTGTCCACTTGACGAAGTAGAACAGACTACAAAATGGTGGCAGGGATTCCCCCGCGGAGGAAATGCTTAGGGAAGTTTGTGAGTGTATGTGTAAAAGTGGAGTTAAACAGCCCAGAAAGAGCGGATAGAAGCATTGCTTACACACAAGTAATCTAACGCCATCATCAAATATTCAAGGCGTAGAAATCAAAACTGCCAAACATTGCCGAATGAAATGTCGAACCCATGAAGAGTGTTGATGGACGCGATCTACTCTATGATTTGATCATCGTTCAGGAGCTAAGATTACGATTAAAGATTCTTCAAACTTTCTCCTTTCTCTCTTCCACAGATAAAGCAAATGCACTTGGGTTCAGAACGACAAGAGAGTGAATAAATAACGAAAGAATTTCAATTCTCTCTGTGAAATATCGACAAACACAAGCGACACGGAAGTACCAGTTGAAACCGAAAAAACTGATGCGCATTGTAAACAAGTACGAAGTCAAGCCTTACCTTTTCTGCAGATTGTGCCGTCCCAAAGAAAATGGGAATGAAGGCGAGCCACACGATGCAAGTGGTGTACATGGTAAAGCCGATGGGTTTGGCTTCGTTGAAGTTTTCCGGAACGCCTCGCGTCTTGATGGCATATACCGTACATGTTACCATCAGCAAGATGCTGTATCCTAGAGAGCAAATGATTTGTAGGTCTGTAATGTCACACTTGAGAACCCCTCGGGCCTTGTCGGGGTTTATGGTCTTCTGCTCGTCGTAATCGACTATGGTGTTCGGAGGATCCACTCCGAACCATATGAGGACCCCTAAGAGCTGGAAGGAGATGAGGCTAGACGTGATCGCTAACTGGGACGTCGGGCTGATCAGTTTAGGCGGAGTAACCGACCTCTTCCCTTCCTCGAAGATCCGGTAAATTCGATTGGTCTTAGTGAGCAGAGCGGCGTAGCTGATACACATTCCCAACCCAAGGAAGATTCGTCTAAAGGAGCAAACGGCCACATCCGGTGTGGCGATCATTACAAAGGTGATGATGTAACACAGGAAAATCCCGGTCAGCAGAACGTAGCTCAGCTCCCTCCCGGACGCTCTTACGATCGGGGTGTCGTTGTAGCGGACAAACGTCGCCATGACGAAGATGGTGGCGATGATACCGAGCATTGCCAGGAAGACGGGAATGATGGACCAGGGAGAATGCCACTCCAGCTTGACGATCGGGATGGGCTGGCAGGCCGTCCGGTTGGGGTTGGGACGCATGTTGTACGAGCACAGCTTGCAGGAAGTCTCGTCGTACTGGTACTGGTAGCCGTCGCAGGGCTCGCAGTGCCAGCAGCACGGCATGCCTTTCACCATCTTCTTGCGTTGACCCGTTTTACAGGGCAGACTGCAGACCGAGCTGGGTATCTCCATCTCACCGTTGGGCCACTGCATGTCATCGATCTAAAAAGAGATGGAGACAAACCAGCATGTTGGTCAATGACATTGATATTTTTTTGTGTAGATTTTCTTTTCTTTCTTTTTTTTTATAAATGAAATTGATAAATCACATACAGTGACTTGAATGCACCACTTTAATTATGAGTCTTGAGTTTCTGAATTTTAAATTGATTTCTTTTTTTTTTGGTATGAAGCGAACATGTCAGGGTGATACGTCGGCCCTAGTCTCAGCCTCAGACGTCACGCCCACGGGACGTTGGCTAAACGTCTGATGTATATGGTACACTTAACTGGAAACACTTCAGGAATGTCGAAGTCGTCATCTGATTGGTTGAATTTTATCGGATTTCCGGGGGGCGCGAGTGTCGCGTTTATTTTCGGTCCGCCGGGAAACAAAGCGCAGACGTGTGATTGCGTAAGAAAAACTGTTGTTTACATGAGTGACAATGAGCATTTATCAAGATCAGCTAAACGTAGGATTCTCAAAAGTATGCGAGGTTCACGGCATAGACTCTTGAAGTTTTCTTCTCCTTCTTTGATTTTCTATGCTGACTGACTTGTTGCACGCCGGTCTGTTGTTGTGGGGACATTTCCACGCCCCGAAACGTGACGCTGAACGAAACGAACTGTAATTAGTTGTTTGCCATGACGGTCAAACGGCCTTATGGGCGGGCCTTGGCCAAAGAAAGCTGCTGTGAATTCCAGACCTTCAGCCGTCAGTCTGAAGGTCTGGCTACGCGAGACTAATCGGCCCTTATATCATAATAAAGAAGAAAAAAATCCTAATCAAAATTAAATTCTTGAAAAAAAATCCTTATAAAAAAATAAATGCATACATATCACAACAAAAGAAAATGCAAAACAAAACAAAACAAAATAAAAAAACACAAAACGAAACAAAAAACAACTAAAATAAAATAAACAAACCACAACAAAACTTAAAAAAAACCACAAAACAAACAAAACAATATTAAAAAATAAACAAAATACAACTAAGTTAAACTAAAAGTAAAAGTCTCTGAAAATATCAGATAATTTGACTGGTAGTGCATTTCAAAGTCATGCAAATCTTTTTTTTTTTTTTTTTAAGAATTTATATTACAATTTCAGACTAAATACTTTAAGAGCAACAGAACCAACATGCCCTTTTTGTTTTCTTAACAAGTTAATTATGTACACCCATTAAAGGGCGTAAATGCTTTTAAGTGTGATCACAGGGATGAAAAGAAAACTGCATAATTTTGAGCCTGCTTATTGCTTTCCGTCCACTCCCTTATACCTCCTTTAATATGCACTTTGAATTTCATGCCTTTCATTCAAACATTGCTGATTGCAGTGTGATTACCAATGATTTCTTTTAGCCCTTCATGGCAACAATCACCATGGAGACGGGTGAATCTTAATGAAAACAGGCAATAAGAGGGCGGCGAAAGAAATGTGGGAAATGCCGCTTTTTGGAATGCGTGCCGTGAATAAATCACATAACATAATAAAAGAGCATTAAAAACACTGAGTGAACCTCGCAGTGATTACAGGTTTGGATTCAGTGGAGAAAATTCCCTTTCAACAAGAGGCCTGCATGAAAATATAGAATAAAATACAAGGAATTGTTCGTTTAAAGGAACAGTTCACCCAAAACTAAATTTGAGGCCAGATTTTCTTTTAAGGCGGGATCCGGTCCTTTAAGAGCATTCTGTCATCAATTTGTTTATGCTTGATTAAACTATCAATGGATAGTTTGACTGAAAACACCTCTAACACCCAAACTCTGGTATTGATGGCTTAACCAGAGGACAGCCAGGGGAAATTAGCAGCAGAGTAATATTCTATTACACCTGGCTATTATTGGGTCGTGTCTGCTTTCAGGAGCACAGAGCATTTCGCTGTTTCCGTGTGAATGTCGGACTGACACCTGGAGACGCCGTAATGAAAAGCCACATCAATCCAGATGACGCACTCCGGAGCCGGGCTGATTGGACACGGACAGCGTTCTGTCGCCCAAACAAAAGCAGAAAGACAGCGCAGTTAATTTAGCCACTGAAACCCATCTGGGGGTCGGGGTGGAGAGGCACGGGAAAGAATGAGAGGACTTTTCTTCTTGTTCATGCTCTCTGACTCTTATATATTCCTTGCACCATCTTGTCTCCTTTCTTGCTGTCGTTGTTTTTTTGTTTTTTATCCGACTCTCTCGCAACAATGCGGCGATCCTTTATTGGGCATCGGGGGTTGGATAGATTCAGAATTTAAGAAATGGCACCTTTTTTTAATTCATGACAAGTATTTTAATAGTATTTGTATGACAATATACACGTACACGTATTTGAATTACGAGCCTATATATGAGCCTAAAAATCGTGCTATTCCCATTAGCTCCATTAAAAAAAGCTAGCATGATATCAGATGGCTAAAGCATGACACGTACATTCAAAAATACATCCACACCCAGCAACAGTCAGAGCAGAATCAATTATTTACCCAGAACACCAAATATCTCTCTGATAGAACAGAGACAGCAGTGCTGCTCTAAATTATTGAAGCGCTCGCTCAGATGATGTCAAAATCGAGAAAACAACCTGAGAATTACTCCCCTACGTTACCATACCACACAGACCTCCGAGCCAGGGTTTTCCTAAACTAAAACTAATGATTTAAAACTCGTCTTGAACCAAATCAGACTTAATACGAAGTAAACTAAAAACAAAGTTGAAAACATGTTTTAAAATACCAACTGAAGCTAGTGATGGAGATATAGCTAATCGAAGAAAGTGCATATCAACAAGTCAAATGATTTCAGAAATACTGTTTAGAAAAGTTTATATAAGTGTTATGCGTCAAAAGTGTGGCTTTAACTGATCTCAAGTCAATTAATGTAACAAAATCAGGCATTTACCTCTTTCCCCGCCAGCATTTAAAAAAATAAAAAAAGCATTTTTGATAATTTTCACAAAATCGCCCCGAGAATATTTTTATAGTATGAATATCTGAATGTCCTAAGTGTGCATTGTCAAAACACGCTTCCGCGCTTCGTAAAAGTGAATCATTTTGCGAAAAACATTCGGTTCAATTGATTTAATGTTTCAAAAGAGAAAAAAAAAAATCTGTTGGAATAATCTGAACGACTGACTGCGCTAAAAGCCATCCAACCAGAAGGAGGCGATATGCTGTTAACACACAGTAAGAAAAAAATCTGTACAAAAACAGAAAATATACCGGTAATTTACGTTTATAGACATTTACTTTAGCCCTAAAACATGACACAATGCAAAATATGCGTAAAACACCTGTGAAAAATCAATCGTAATCCGAATGTACTACATTCATCATGCTGTTGTTGTAGTTGTCATGTGACTTACGGCATCAGTTGCGTCGCTTCACTGCAATTCACAAATCCTCTCCCGTGGCCTAATCAGTTCAGCACTTATTTCTCGCTGGAAATAGTAGGCATTTTGGTAGCACTTTAGGGGTGTGCATAAGACTGACATGACACCTTCATAATCATGACATGACACACGTCATGAATATGAAGGAGGTTTCATGCATGTTTACGACAACTGTCATTAAGTGTCATTCACTCAATTATGACATTTTTAATGCAAATATGACATTGTTTGAGATGTCTTTGTAAGGACACCTTGACATAAACCAATACATCATAACCTGTCAGTGTCTTTGTCATGACAACTTGATATTACTAAGACAACACAACCTGTCATAAATATGTCATAAACATGACATAGCAGATTAATTATCAAACTTGAGAAACCACTTAGCTTTATGGGTTAACATTGCATTAAACTGTCAGGTGGTTGGTTTTGACATTGGCTGTCATGAGGCCATTATAACATTTTAATGACAAATTCAATTTGTACCACTGTAGTTGAGGGCAAGAAAAATATTCATGACACAGTTATAATGGCCTCATGACAGCCAATGTCAAAACCAACCACATGACAGTTTAATGCAATGTTAACCCATAAAGCTTAGCGGTTTCTTAAGTTTGATCATTAATCTGCTATGTCATGTTTATGACATATTTATGACAATTTATGTTGTCTTGGTAATGCCAAGTTGTCATTACCTGACAGGTTATGATGTATTGGTTTATGTCAAGTTGTCAAAACAAAGACATCTCAAACAATGTCATATTTGCATTCAAAATGTCATAATTGAGCGAAAGACACTTAATGACAGTTGTCATAAACATGCATTAAACCTCCGTCATATTCATGACATGTGTCATGTCATGATTATGAAGGTGTCATGCCAGTCTTAAGCACACCCCTTTAAGTAAAGTGTTACCGGTATGTTCCAGGTATTTTTCAGCTATTGAATTCCGACATACTGTTTTTCATCTACTATGTAGTAGGGAAGGATATGATTTCAGATGCAGCCTATATGTTGCCCCAAGTCTTGAAAACTTGAAACACTCTCACCTTAGAAAACAGGAAAGGTCACAACTGGAAACTGCCCTGACTGCAGGGAAGTGTGAAACTAACTAAAAGTAAACTGAAATGTACATTTGAAAGTAGTTAAAAACTAATTTGAAAGTACAACAATAAAAAGTTCACAGCTGAAAAGCTTGGAGCCGTCACGCTAGCAAGCTAACAGGGAGGAGTTGTTGTTTTCTGTACTGAAAGGCGTAGCATTATCATTAAAGCTGTTTTCCAGTCAAACAACCTGAATCAAAGCACAACCAGGAATACATTACAACCTCAACCCGAGTTCGAAGCACTTTTCAAACCTGAGCTTCCAGCTTCCTCTGACAACCGGTAATTTATTTTTCCGCTAGCTTGAGTTCTTTAATCTGGGCCTCCTTTTTTGTTCGAGAAAAGGTCCAAAAACAAAGTTACAAGCGAACAAGCCAAAGTCCCCACACTTGATTTGCAGAGCTACAGTTGTATTTAAAGAGCAATCTCTACCTCTGGGCGAATCCGATCTTGTATCATCTGCTATCATTGCTTGCAGTCGGCCGAACATTGGGGGGCTGGTGGCTAGCAGGCACT